TCGTCGCGCACGGTCAGGCTGTCAGTTGTTGCAGGTGCCCCCATTGTTCAGTAGTGGTCAAAGTGTCTGGTCAAGAGCAGACATAGATCCGAACGCGTCTTCAAGTAGGTCGGTCTGCATTCTCTCCTTGGGGCACTCGGGAAGGAATAGCAGCCTAACTTTCAATCACATGAATGTTTCCCCAATGGCTCCGGCGATAACGGGTCCAGTCAAAGTAGATAAGCGCCGTTATCGCCGATTACAACGTTCGTCTGAAAAGCGGAAATAATCTTTACATCTCCACTGCTATCGATTGCACAATGCCTGAAACCAAGAACAAAGTCTGCCTGATGTATGTCTGATTGTGCTGAAATCGACCACAAAATGACTTTGCATCCAATCTTCTCCTTCACAGCGTCCATGATGGTTGGGGCATATCAGATATCGAGAAAGGCAACGCTGTCCACGCTGGCACGACCACAAACATGGATAAGATTGCAAAGGAACACTCTTATCGTACACTTGCTGCTCATGGAACGGCCGTGGGCCTCAATGAAGGTCTCATGGGAAACTCAGAGGTTGGGTACGTCCTAGCTCATTGCATCATAGATCAGAACTCATTCGAACATCTAATCTCATCTGACTCAGGCATCTAAACATTGGAGCGGGACGTATTGTCTGGCAGGACATTGTTCGGATTGATGTTTCTATCAAGAAGCGTCAATTTCATTCGACGGACAAAATTGTGGAGTCTTGTAAACATGCAAAAGATCACTCTGGCCGACTCCATCTCCTCGGTCTCGTGAGCGACGGAGGGGTTCATTCACATATCCGCCATCTTTTCGCTTTGCTAGAAACAGCCCAGGAGATCGGGGTGCCAGAAGTTTACATTCATTTCTTCGGCGATGGGCGAGATACTGCCCCCAAATCTGCAGCTGGATACCTCAAGGATCTTCTCGGGTTCACCACCTCCAAGAAAGTGGGACAAATTGCGACGGTGGTAGGCCGCTACTATGCCATGGACAGAGACAAGCGCTGGGAGAGAGTGAAAGTCGCGATCGACGGCCTGGTACAAGGAGAAGGAGAGGAAAGTGATGACCCTGTGAAAACAATTGAAAAAAGGTATGAGAATGGCGAAACGGATGAATTCCTCAAACCGATCATCGTTGGTGGGGCGGATCGTCGTATCAAAGGTGATCTCGAATATTCTCGCGCAGCTATCCGTTGTTTACCGACATTCTCTCGTAGATGGGGACACCCTGTTCTTTTTCAACTATCGCTCTGACAGGATGCGTGAAATCGTGTCAGTCTTTGGATTACCCGACAAACCTATGGAAGTCAAAATCCCTGAAAATCTGGTAAGGTCTCAGATTGCGACGCCGTTCAGACTTTCCGAATATTTCCCTTTCAGCACATCACGACTATGTCCAGGTACAACACTGACTTCACGTTCCCGATCGCTTTCCCACCTCAGGGTATGACAAACGTTCTCGCGGAATGGCTAAGCAAGCAAGGGGTAAAGCAAGCCCACATCGCCGGTTGGTCTTCCACAAAATGTACAGAGTTGCCAGCTCAGGATAAATTTAGAGACCGAAAAGTATGCCCATGTCACCTTTTTTTTCAATGGCGGGATAGAGAAGCAATTTGAAAACGAAGAACGCCACATGATTTCTTCACCCAAGGTGCCCACATACGACAAGCAACCTGAAATGAGTGTCCACGGAGTCGCAGAAAAAGTTGCCGAAGTGGTGAAGAAAGGAGAACACGAGTTTGTCATGTGCAACTTCGCACCTCCAGACATGGTAAGTCAGGGCAGAGAAGCCCACGCCACAGAAGGCCTAACGTCGCTTAGGTAGGGCATACCGGCGTTTATGATGCCGCGGTAAAAGCAATTACCGAGACTGACCGAGCCGTGGGCACGGTTTATCAGGCGTGCCAGGAGGCAGGCTATATTCTCTTGATAACTGCCGACCATGGCAATGCCGAGCAAATGATCAATCCTGAGACGGGTGCCCCCCATACCGCCCATACGACGAACCCCGTACCTTTCATCATGACTGGTGACCCGAAGAAACTAGCCTTCACTAAGGATCACGAGGGTGAAGAGGAGGGAGCTCTGTGCGACGTTGCACCGACCATCCTTGACCTATTGGGGCTTCCTAAAACCGATGGTTAGGCTTCTCACCAATGCGATAAATCCGTTATTGATCGATCGTGGATCTAGATATGAGTGGTCGTTCTCTCCTATCACAGGAATAAGGGTCATCGTTTCCGAGAAAAGCGCAAAGGCGATAAATAGACGAACGAACGAAGCTTGATAAGTCACGGCAGGGGAGTACTATCTTCCCGTTCATTACACCCGGCAGGTAGCATAAGGAATAGATGTGCCCATCGCATGGATCGTACCTGCAACTAGCTAGCAAGAGTCGAATCGCTGAAAGTTGAATCATTTCAAATCCACTGGACTTCCCGAAGGTGGTCGAATATCCCTGAGGCTCTGGTTTTTGAGTGGCTCTGGACTCTGGTTGGAATGTATGGCGGTGTTACAGGTGTGGGAATAGACCGTGTCTTTTGCAAAGTCTGGACGTCTCGCCCAGTCACCGTCCCATTGTTGAATAAAAAATCATGTATGGTTCATCTAGGCTTTATTTCAGTTCTCGTTTCTAGGTCTCACTATGACGACAGAGCATATGCAACCCAAGATGAGACATCACTACTGCTTCGATCCGGCAAATTACGATCGGCCGGACGCAGAACCATTATTCCAGTATATGCAATGGTCGCATCTGGAAGTACTCTCCTGGGTAACACGTTGGTCCTCCTTGGCATAGAACTTAGAGACACGGTGAGAAAGGCTTCTTCGAAGACCCCATTCGTAAATCGATGATCCTACCTGTTTGCAGACATTCTTGCACACGTTGGGGCAAGGATTAGGATGCAAAGGACTGAAAATGCAAGTCGTTAGGTTGCACGAGGTCGTCCCTTGTTGAGCAATGCTAATGATGTGCTAGCAGAGTACGTGAAGTGCAGATCTTCGGTAAAGGAGCATGTTAATTCACCCCACAAGAATACTTCACGGCGGACCTGACAGATAGGAATGTGAGACTCTGATACTCAAGGGAACAAAGAAATCAGCACACATGATACTATTGCACATGGAGAAGGCTGAAACCGAGATGTGACTACAGACGGGCTTAGTGTTTGAGTCCTTGCAAGGAAGAGGAAGGTTTACCTGGGGATGCGGGGTGTTGACGTCCAAGCAGACAATTTGATGGATAGGCAGACTCGATTGTAGATCCAGCAAGGAGGTTGTTCGACATTTTGCGACTATCAGCACACTCTTATATAGTGTAAGTATCTTGTCAGTGTAAGTGGCACTAAGAAACAAGATCCTGGAAGCCGGCCAGGGCGGTCCAAGGGACAAAAAATCAATGCATACGGAGCTCAAGGCTACCTCGGTAGTTGATAGTGCGCTACCGGTATATTGGAGTAGCATGCAAGCAAGAAGTTTGATACTTGGTTCGATAACAAATGAACCAGATCTGAGTTTGCGACGGTCATCGCCGAAACTGCTAGTACTCCAGATCTCCGCTCTGTGGCTCCGAGATCGTATAGTCTCAGGCTTCCCGAGCCTCGTCCTCAACCAATTGCAATGAGCTCTAGTACTGATCTTTGCCTCACTTGTTCATGTTCTATCAGGAACCACAGTCCCCAATCTGTCCCATTCAATACGTCGTGCTGTCATCGCAGCATATGCCAGAGCTGTCTGGCAAACAATCCACGGCTCCGCCTCTACAATCCGTGCCTGTTTTGCCTTGGTGGCGTTGACGCTGTAAAAATACCAAATCGTCAACCATTTTCTGCGGTCGCAGAAACTTCTGAGAATGACGTTTTCATCCTCGGGGACCTGGAAGATGAAGAGCCGACGTCGGTCCAACAGGAGATCGTGCAGGGACAGATAGACATCCCTCGGTCGCATCCCGATAGCACGTCGATCGTCCCTTTGTTGAAAGCCTCGGGGCCTACAACTTTCTCGGAGTCAGCGCCGTCCGAGCCTGTCGGCGGTGAGACGGACGCCGCAGCACGGACAGAAAGCAACACGATAGCTTTACCAAATGGTCTGATGTCTCGATACTACATCAAGCCTCTTGACACTTTGGTCGGCATATCTCTAAAATTCTCGATCGACGTGCGTTTTGGCGCAAGCATGTGCGCATCAACTATATGTAATGCTCATGATTTTTGAAACAGGGTCGAAAGTTGTGCGCACTTAATCATCTGCCTAGCACTACTCTCACAACAACGCCCCATCTTCTCCATACTAGGACTTTCATTGACATTCCGTATGCGGGACATCCATTACCCCCTCCCCCACCGGAATTATTGCAGCAGCGAGAGCGCGAACGAGCTGTCAAGAGACTCCAGCTCGTCACTAAGGAGAGTGACCTTGGTGTCGCCCAGTCCTATGTAGCACTGGCCGATCTTGCCGATCCTTTAGAAATGAAATCCAAAGAACAAGGCACACATCATGCCACAAGTAAGCAAAACGATGCCGTAGCGGCTTATCTTGAAGATGAAGATTGGGAGAACAGCATGCGTAAGCAAGGGGTGAAGCCAAGTATCCAGCGATTCCGGCGGGCGGGTTGATCACATGGATCCCTATTACACAGTTCAGATGATTGGGTAGAAAATCTGTAGATACCTCTCTGATCAACCTGTGAATCCTGGGCCTGTTTAGAACTCGAACTTCCGAGCCCGTCCTGACTCGTAATACAATTGACACGCCGAAGAAACGAAAACGGTTGAAAGGGCTGCAGTCACGGAACTCCTAAAGACAAGTAATACAGAAGAAAGGTTTTTGTCTGAGCACGGGGTCGAACGCGTCTCCCAAACCAAGAGCGAATGAAGCTCGGCTTCTTCCGGGCCGTCGAGGAAAAAAATGCTGTGGTTTAATCAAGGTTTCTGATAATTGAGGAACTCATTTCCCAAGTGAAAAGTGAAAAATTAAAGAGCAAAAGGAATGATTGAGCCCAGGGTCGAACTGGGAACCTTCTGTGTGAAGTTAATTGCAGGGTGGCGTATACCCAGACTGTTAGACAGAAATCATAACCGCTAGACCACTCAACCGATATGATATCCCCTCACAAAATAATATATAACCACAAAACATCCCTACAGTAAGCTTCGCTTGTGCTCCTTGGCCGCAGACATTCGGACGCCTCTCCACTAAACAAACATTTGACTTGACTCTCTCGTGCTCGTTCTACTACAGTATTATTGTCCAACTTTGCCGAGCTCGCTGCCTCTCGGGTATCTTCCAACGTTGCCGCGTCTCCAGAGCTCGCTCTCCCCTCAGTACTATTAGACTAGTATTATTACTAGTAGTGCGAATCATTTGCGATGAGCGCGAGGTCCTTGGAAAATATCACCTCCTGTACGTTGCCCCTCTTCTCCGCGGAACGCCACGCTCCGTATCTTTCCAGACCTTCCTTAGGTTCCACTGTTTCATTGCTTCTTCGCCGGTCTACTTGGCAATGTCCAGATACTGTGTGATGGTGCTGCTGCGACAATTGCCGTCAAACATCTGTAATCTACTGCACTTTGCAAGATTAGAATTTTTTATACATTCCCATTTCATTTTCGTACATGCGGATGTCTACACCCCCTGGTAGCTCAACTATCTACCCCTAATTAACACTTCCGAAGATCGCGTATCGACGACAGATGCTGGGTCCTACTTCTTCATAATCCGCTTTCGTGTGACAGTAGGAGTAGAACTCCGGCTGCAGTTTTCGTCAGGGGTTGCAGATTAACTAAAGCATGTTTGCAACTTACAAGGGACGCCAACAGAGAACCTCCGAACCAAACGGCGTACCTGTTAACGGATCGATACCGATTTCACTCAAGCGTTCAATTTTTAACATACCGTTGTCTCTTATGCGATATAACGTTCACGTCAACGCCGGTAGACTGACATTTGGTTAATTTATGTGCGCCAAGGCTATGGGTGAAACGTACTCTGATAATGCTGCCACTTGATGCTTCGCTAGCTTCGATCCTTCGATCAACTAATTGTTTGAGATCGCGCTTGAGTCGTTGGCCAAAGTGATCGAACATAGTAGATCCGCCAGATAACACAATATTCTTCGACCGAGATGAGTTAATCGTGCCTAGACAGGTCCAGAGCCCGTACCTTGTAAAGGCCGCGACGGACATCAATGGGCGATGCTTGGATGACTCCGTCCACGATCTCAGGAAGAGGCGTCAAAAAGTCGGAGGAAGCGATTTCCGGATTGAAAAAGATCTCCGGAGCAAGGAAGCGCTCATAGCCTACATCGATGGAATATTTCTGGCAGATGGATTAACAAGCGTAAAGGGCAAGTTCTGAGAAATAAACCCACACGTCCCGTGACGCTATGCTCGCCATCGTACCGTGCAAAGTACTTCATGGGATCCTGATCATATTTCCTGAACTCCTTGACAATGTCCTGACAAACGTAACTGTAGTTCTCCTTCACTTTGGAAGCGACTCGTAATTGATCTTCAGGCGGAACCGTCACCATTTCTCCACGCTCTCGAAGCAGGTTCAGGACAAACTGAGAGATATCACGCCCGGCGATGGGAATATGTTTGATTGCGCTACCAATCACGTATCCTTCGGCACAAGGGATGACGTGGGTCACACCATCTCCAGAGTCAATGACTGTTCCAGTAAGTGTACGATCAGTGACTTTGTTTGAAGACCACGAGGCCGCAAGAGCAAGTACTGCTTGGACCGCGATATAGAGCCCTTGAATATTGAAGGATTCGAAGAAGATTTCAGCAGTATTCTCGCGATTTTCGGGAGGATTTAGAGGAGGTTCGGTCTATCAATGAATGTGAATATTTCACAAACGATACAAAATACAGATGACGCACCAGCAGGAAATAATGGTCCTCAGGTTCAGCCCGCAGGTATTTGAAGATAGACTGCTCCCAGTATCGCTCCATATGGTCCCAATTGTCAATCATGCCATGGCGTATAGGGTAGTGTACGCTGTATGTCTTGGAGTTTGCTAATGCCTCGTCTCCGATATAGAAGTCTAGATCTTCGATGCCGCGTTTGGTTGCTAAATGGCCAGGCTTGGCTGGCAGTGAAGGTCCTCGACTATTCGAAGCTGGACTCTCTCGCGTTGCAATCGCGGTGGGAAATACACTATCATCCAACGTATTGTGAATGACCTGATCTCGCTCGATTGGTTAGAACTGCCTTACAAGGATGGGTCGGAATTTCCGGCAAAACTGGAACATTTCAGTAACGCGGGTACACCTAGAAAGCACACTCTTACCCAATCTTTGAATACCCGGTGCCATTGTCACTAATGATAGGAGCGAGCAATGCCATTGTGCCCTAGGGTAAGTCTGCGGGCAATCTGTTTGGTCTTGCTTGGCCCGCGAGGTTGCCTCCGGATTGCGGGCACAGCTTTCTGTCCTGTCGCAGCACCTCCACATTCCCTTTCTGTCATATTACCAATCATTTACTCTAGACCACAACGTTCCTCTGTATTGTGAGTCTACCCTCTTTTGCCACCGGCCAGATAACTCAGAGATGCAGTTTTCAACGAGGATCATTACCGCCACGTACAATCATTGTTTGTATCCGGTGTCCTTTATCGAGAATGTCCGTCTCACACGATTCACAGTCATCAAATTTCTACATACGACATCCACGTAACCATGTCAGGGGGAGGATTTGCAGCTCTGATGGCCGTTAGTGCTGGTCAGACTAAAGACGCAGAGGCCGCCGCTCGGATGGCCCTGGCACAGCGGCAGCAAAAATTAGAAAATCAGCGCCGGGAGCAGGAAGCCAGGGAGAAGAAGCTACGAGAAGATGCAGCTAGATTGAGGATGAAACATCTTGAAGAAGAACGTCGAGAGGCAGAGAGACAGGCTCAGCGGGAGAAAGAAAAGGCCGCTCGTGAGCGCGAAGCGGCCAGGAGAGAGGCTGAGGTCCGAGATCATCTGCTCTACGGGAAATCCAAGAGCAAGTCGCAGGGCCCATCACTCGAACGGAGCAGGAAACGCGACGCCGACGACGCCGAGATCGGTGACTCCGAAGACGCGCTGACACGGGAGGAGAAGCGAATGAGAAAGCGACAAAGGGAGATGAACCGAGCCTTTCCTTCTCCATCTCACTCGGTCAAACGATCCTCATCCTCACTTCACAAATCTGGTCATCGGCTTCCCGGCGGAGCTGTCATGACTATCACAAATTCCCCTCAGAATCTCGCTGCACTGCCTTCTCAGGCAGGCCAATCTGCTCGCCAGAGACTTGCAGCGACTCCCGCCACTCTCACGAAGCTTAACACCAACAAACGAGATTTACGTACAATCGACGAAATCCTTATGGACAGACAACGGGCCAAGAACGGTGAGGACAAGGTGATCGAAGGCGATAAAGCCCGAGAATTCCACGACTGGTTCACGACAACGAAGAAACGAGATACAGACAAGAAACCGGCGACTTCACTTGTCTCGACTGGCCCTACCTCGTCCCAAACCCGGAGCAGTACCTCAACTTCCGCCCGCTCCTCACCCATGCCACCCGCCAAATCATCCGCATCTGTTAACGCCAAAGGAAAGGGTGCCCTTGACCCCAAGTCATCTTCCGCCATTGCCAAAGTGAACCAGAGCAAATCTATCCCAGCATCGTCTCGCCCACAGAGCTCTCCAGCCATCAATACTGCCTTGACTCAACCGAGACGAAGGCGTCAATCCGACAGCCCTCCTCCATCGTCTTCGAAACGCCGCTCTGCAAGAAGGTCAGAAGACTCAGATGAGGGTGGCGATGGGATTTTCGGAATCAGAGACGAAATCTGGAGTATATTTGGCAAACGACGTGACAGTTATGTCAATCGTGCGGACCTTAGCGATGACGATGATATGGAGGCCGATGCGTTCTCTCAAGAACAGGAGGAACTTTATAGGTATGTTCATCGTGGTCTTTTGATGATTGCCATGTAATTTTTTCGTCTTAGTGCGCGGATTGCCCGTAAGGAAGACGAACGTGAATTGGCACAGCTTAAGATGCGCGAAGAGGAGAAATTGAGAAGAAAGAAAGAAAAGGAGCGGGACGGTTCCAGGTTGGGAGCTCGTTGAGCATTGAAATCAGGAAGACGTAAGACCATAGGGTACATTCCCTCACATACACATCACTACATACACTGCATCATTATTTTGGCCTCTTGAAACATTCTTTTTTGCGTTGTATTTGCTATCCCTGTTGCAATATATAGTACTATAGTCATTATCATATTTTATGACTATCGGTGGTTATCGACGAAGCAAGCTATTTCAATTTAGCGCCCGAAGTGGCAACTCTAGCTCTGCTTCACCATCAACTTGATGTTCAAAACCGGTGCACGGTCTTGCTGGCTCGGGCATCATCAATTATAATGGGACCGAGAGACCAATGCTTCAATTCTCTCTTGTTTGGACAAATTCTATAGATGTGGTACTGCTTTTCTGGAAAACCCGACGTCGTTACGCTCTTCCTCTAATATGGTCAACTCGACGTATGAGATCAATTCCTGCACACCCGCAGTCATGCATACTCGTGTTTAGGCACTATGCCGCATCATCAAATACCGAGGATCAAAATACTTCCGTAGCACCGTCTTCCAGGACCAGAATTTAGAGCGGCGAGGTTCGATACCGTGGCTTTCCTGCCACCTCGCCGCATTGAGCACTATATTGGGCATTCATGGGTTCACGATGGACGTGCAGTTCTCACTGTTTCGGGGCTCACCAAAATATGCGACGCGTACCAGTCTTTCGGTGTCTTTTCTATGAGCCTACGACCAACACGCTGCCATTGTGCAGTGCGTCGAGTCTCACGCCAATGACAGGCAAAAATAGGTCGCTTGGCATGGTCCGTTCGTTACACGGCCAATAACAGCACCCTGCCGCTACTCAATGCCTTGCCTGCATTACAGGGATCGGGACTCCGCATTCGAGGGAGAATTTGGTCGAAGCATCGAACTGCGTTCGACGACCATGACGCTTCGAATTCTTACTCGTCACGAGTCTCTTTCTGCCTTCAGAAAAGCTCCTCGATGTCCTGCAATCCTCTTAGCGCGTTCCTTCCC